CGCAAGCAGATTTTGACATCAAATTTTGGGGTAAAAAAATCCGTCCTATATACCGAAAAATATGGTACTTATTATGCACGAATACAATTTTTCAAAAAAATGTTCAGTAGTTGCTTTTCTGTCTCACACATAATCAACTATGTACATTGATACAGATGGTGCAGCAAACACTGCTAATGTTCTCACAACTCTATTCACTACTTATACATACCTGAAGGTTCTTTTTTCTGTGGAACACGATTGATTTTGCTTTAACCTTTCTGTCTTTGATGTCTACTTTATTTCCACAAAGGACGATGGGTATGTTTTCACAAACTCGTACCAAATCTCTATGCCAGTTAGGAACATTTTTATAAGTGACCCTTGATGTTACATCAAACATGATAACGGCACACTGACCTAAACAAAGCACACAAAAGTGAAACACTTAAAACAAGAAGTTGTCTTCGTACTTGCTTCAATTAAACTATTAAAAATAAAATACAGGTTGTTTTTCTGTTTTTGACATATCAAATCAAGCAAGATTTATGGATGACTTGGAAACTAACCCTGAATGTAGTACCCATCACGTAAGCCTCCAAATTTTTCTTGTCCTGCCGTGTCCCACACGTTAAACCTGACTGGACCACGGTTTGTGTGAAATAACAATGGATGAACTTCAACACCTAGAGTAGCTGGAAAAATAATAATTTACATTGTAGAATACATTTAAAAACTTAACTGTTAGTTTCATCACAATAAAAACACAAGTAAAAAAAGAAAGTTAGGAACCAACTGTGATAACACCTTTTCCCTTCTTAATTTGAATTTTGTTAATTTACAACAAATAGTTTATGTATTGGCAACTCTGCGGAGCAGCTCGATAAACCGAACTTGGCCACTTACTGAATTCAGAACGAGGGTTGGTGAAATTCTCCTAAAATCTTATTGGCCATTTGTAGAAGTGGTAAGATCTAAATTTTTCCAAAGGGTTGCACCTAGCTTATTAGCCAAAATTAACACTGCTTTGTGTCTCACTAACAACAAGAATTGCTTCTTAGAATTTGAAACATAAATAAAATGTCTGCCAGTTTGAAGTATGTCATATCCCGATTTGATACTAAGATTATAAAGTATGAGAAAATGGACAGTTAAATGTTCGAGTTTTTGCAGCTTTCCGTTACAAGCAACATGAGGATAGGAAATAATTTTCGTCTCGGCAAGATAACTCGGAGTGAATGGGTAAACGAGAATTACTTTTGACATTAATGCACAACACAAAGTTCAACCGTAATAAAATTGCTCCTTTCAGCACATTTACTCCTCCCTACGATTAAGGTATTAACTGTAAGTAGTAGTGGGTGATCTTGAATCATGAAACGGCAACATCAATGACTCGGTTCACTCATGATAAAACATATTATAAATAACTCGCTGTTACTATACTTTTTTTAGTAATTCTTCAACGGAAATTCGTGTAGTAGTTAGTTCAATTAATTCTGGTCAGTCATTACAGTTTTAAGTACTACTTCAGACTAAACTATAACTCGCTGTTACTATACTTTTTTTAGTAATTCTTCAACGGAAATCCGTGTAGTAGTTAGTTCAATTAATTCTGGTCAGTCATTACAGTTTTAAGTACTACTTCAGACTAAACTATAACTCGCTGTTACTATACTTTTTTTTTAGTAATTCTTCAACGGAAATCCGTAGTAGTTAGTTCAATTAATCCTGGTCAGTCATTACAGTTTTAAGTACTACTTCAGACTAAACTACGGTGACTTTATTGTCTGAAACATAAATGAATCTCTGTATATAAAATATTTCCATACAGACAATTTCAAGAGAGTAAGTGTTCTAGGTACGATTACAGTAAATTAATCTGTGAGACTATCTTTTTTTTATTATTAGCTAGATTTTTTGTAAGCCAGCAATACCAAATAGAATGACAAATAATGGGGGGTAAAATCGTAAATGTTAAAGGGAATTCATAAGAAACTATAGACTATAAATTAATGTATAAGACCGTGGGGCATAGTCAAAGAAGTCAGTCAAAAGGGCTTGACCTCCCGAGTTCAAAACTGTAATTAGATCTCAAATCGGTCAAGAGATGACGGAGACATTCTACGAGCCACTACGCTGCAGCTAAAAATACTTAATTAACTGAGCCCTTATGCATAGGATTACATTCAACTAATCAATTACTCTCACAAACTTGGATAGCAGTAATAATTTAAAACATTAATCTTGATTGGTAGATTATTTTTGAAACATTAATTAATTACTTTGCACAACACTAAACAATGTAATCAATTAATCATTCAGCTGTTATTAAAAATACAATTACTCACCAACTAACATCAAAATTAAAAGTAATGTACACCAAATCATATTAGAACAACCCATTATTTATAAGCTAATTGATGTCACTACACTGCTCTCTTTCAATTATAGACAATCATCGCTTCAAAATTACCCTGGTGGCTTATAAACAAACATAACAGTTAAGAATGCGAGGAATCAATCTAACGAAAACAAAAATATTCACACTTCGATAAACAGGGTTCTTAGACATGAAATGTAAGTGAACCTCAGTAACTATTGCCAGTAAAACATGAGGAATTTAGATAGAAGTCCTTTTTTTTTGTCTTATATTTTGTCAATAGCTTTTGAAGTTAAAATTTCATTAGGCTTAGTAAATATCACGAAAACAACATTATACTTAAGACCTAAGATGCCTTTTTGATTTACCAGCTTAGATTTATTATGACATATTTATTATTGGTAGTTTCTCCCAGTCTAAGAGAAGAAATAATAATAATGGGGGGGGGGACCTTACCAACATATTTTTTTTCAAATTCGCCTGTCAGATGTCTCTTCACAAACGTTGTTTTTCCTGTTCCACCATCACCAACGAGAACACACTACAAACAGAAAAATATTGTAAAAACCAAGTCCAATATCTCTTGGATTCACACCATTTTTGCCGATTTAAACTGCGAGTGAAGTCTGAAGCATGTAACCCTTATAATTACAAACATCCTATGCTTGTTTTCAAAGGGGGAAAAATATATAATTTTTTCTCCCTTTTTAATGTAACACAACCCTAAACGTGTAAAAATCCAGTTTAGAATACTAAGCTTCATTCTGTTCATTGCTGCTCACCAGATGTCATTAACAGCAATATAACAGATGAAAAAAAAATTTAACTGCATTTCAGAATCAATCTTCAGAGAAATTTTTAAAGACTAGATTTAAAATGTGAAGTATTCGATTAAAAAATGTATAAATAAGTTTAGTGTAGTATTAAGTTTGGAAGTAAGAGAAATGATGATTTTTTTCCCCACTAACACAAGTGTACAATCTTCATTCATAATCTCAAGGATAACATCAATGATCAAACCTAATTGAAGACAAAGGAAATAACATGGAATAAATGCCGTTAGATTAAATAGGTTGGAATATTAACAAAACTAGAGGAAAGCTATGGATTTATTTCTAAAAAATTGGGAAATTCAAAAGGACTTGTAAGAAACAGCTGGTTGATAATGTTAACATTAACAGCAGTGTTTTTGACGTATGTTAAAGGTAATCAAAAAGTAAAAACTGATACTGGACCCTTAAAGCTTCAATACTAATGGCAAGGTTTTTGTTGAATACTATGAAATGGTAGAGCTTTTAAATATTCTACTCTGTTTTTGCAATATTCCCGAGCATCTGATAAGAAGTGTTGGAATTGACCTAATTCGTGCAGCTATTAATGTTATGTAGAAAGGCTGATAGATCGTCTCAGCTATCAGTTTCGTCCTTCCCAAACTAGTGTAGAATATATGTTTATTCAGATGTATTCAGGCAATTGTTCTAAATTTTCCTGGTGTTCTGCATGTAGTCATGCCATTCTCGTTAATTAATAGTTCCTGAAAAGTCATACATTTTGCCCCCGTGGGGATGGGGACATCTCAAGGGATGACACAGATACTAGTACAAATTTTTATGATTTTTGTTTCTATAATGTATGTTGTAATTGGAATATCGTCAACGACACCTGCTGTTTGGGATTATGGTATACCACATTTGAGTAATTTGTCTAACTGTAAAAGCATGGTATAACAGAAATCTTCTCATGTTTGTCCCGTGCAGCCAGTAAGAGACAACAGAAATACGTAAGCTGAATAGTCCCTATTCTATTGTGAATAAAGATTTTGCTTTATTTGTTAATTTGTTGTTTTTTGCTGTCTGTGTTTGAAATTCTCATCAATACATTTCTGACATTTCCTTCCTTGCAAGTATTTATTTTTACTTATCTAATCGATATCATCAGCAAATAGAAATGTCACAAGATTACATATAGATATAACACCACCAGGGCCACCAAGGTCTTTCAGGTGTTTTAAAGGAGAAGGTCAGATTTACTAGAAAAGTTCAAGTTTACCCAGGGGACTTGTAAAAAAAAACCAACAAAAACAGATTTCTATGTGCTACGTTCTAAAATTAACAGAACAAGTAGGGAGATATTTTTTCTTACAAGGTGATTGACTTACAAACTAAGTTGTCATCAACACTGGATAAACTAGTAAGATAGGTGGCGTGACACCGAACAATGAAAACAACACAATTAAAATCATACTGAAGTCAAACCTCAGTTTCAACCATCATCATGACAACACTGAGATATGAATTTTCTTAATGTATCCAAAAGTATCCATACTTTGAATGTAGGTATCCCATCTCCAAGGTCAGTCTGATTCTGTTGCATGTTTCCCAACTAATAAAAAAAATTTATATATGTACAAAAAGTTTGATTCAACCAATAAAAATATAAATTAGATAATAATAATTTAGTTGGTAATATAATTACTTATTTGTTCAGCTAGTCTGCATAATGTCTGTATTACTCTAAAATTACACAATATAATTAAAGATTGACACGTAACTTATTAACTTAACATATGATATAAATTAACATATACCAGAAAATTAATTACTTTCTACTTTAAGCTCATAATAAGAGAGACAAGATGCAAACATCCAATTGTTATGTAGTTAACACCTTACTTATTTTTAATTCTATCTCTCAAAAGTTTAATATTATATAAATAGTGAACCAATCAGTCACAATAAAAGTAAACAATGAAATCCAAAACCATAATGACTACTGATAGTGACTTAATATTGCTTTAAGTGCAATATGATTTTACCAATGATAAAAATCTTAGGTTTAACTTAATTATCACAATTTTTTACAATAAAAACTAACATACACCTGGGTGTTCCAGTGAGACCTGTCTGCCAATGTCATACACATTCATTGCTTTCACTCACTAGTTCTTGGAAGTACTAACGTAGACAGAACATTATGGCATATAGACTGGGAAATGTTACACTGTTAGTCAGATCATGACAGATATAAATTTTAGAAAATGCTCAGGATGGTTTCTTCAATTGGTTAGGGTACCAAGTAGGAACAATACTATTATAGATTTATTATTAACTTCTAATATAGAAATAGTTGAAAGGGTGGAGACTGGGGAACATTTGGTTGAAAGTGATCATTGCTCAAAATTATGGTTCAAAGTTTTAAAAAACAAATAACTTTTGAAGAAATGAGATAAAATTACCTGCTGTAAATTGGGCAATTGAATTGGAGATCTGATAAATGTGGAAAAATATTTAAAATAAATTTTTGGTATTAAGTACTTATCCAGTATTATACTTTAATATATATTTATACATTTTTATAGTATTTTTTTAGTAATACTAATTACACTGCTGTACGTGGACTGATTCTTTTTAACATAAAATTTAATAGCATCACACTAATTTAGCTGTCATACTTTACATCAAACTACAAATATATTTGCTGAGCGAGTCATGCTTTATCATTATTAATTGTTACATAACATTAACAGTAACAAAACAATGCTTCGTCATGTTAAGCCTAAACTTAACATGCTTTCAAATATGGTAACCCTAACGTTTGCTTAAGTTCTTAGAGTTAGACATTAATTCAAGACATATCTAATCTTTAAAGTTTAACTTGTATTTGTAAATAAAATCATTCCGCAAATTAAAAGTATTACATGGACTTCTACATGTCCTAGTCGAGTCTGTCATAGTACTTTTATTAGTTACAACTGCTAGCTATCTTGCTAAAACTTACTAATACTAATTCAATGTAAATTCTATTTTTAGCATAAATCTTTTTCTACTGAAATGTTCACATTTTATAGTTGATTCATTAAATTATATAAATTGTTGAAAGGTTAAAAAAATTACTTACGTTAACCTTATTATAATGTTTCCTTATTTAGCTCGTGTATTTCTAATAAAATTTGATCATTCACACAACTACTACTAACTGATAATACTTTTTGAACTTGCTTATTCAATTCAGTCCTACCTCGGTGTGGCTCAGATGCAACTTCCGGTTTTGGCGCGTAATTTAAGAACACAAAAGCTGCTAGATTGTGTATTTCATCGGTAGAGGTCTTCTTAATTGAAACTATACTTTTAAATTGAAAATTCTAATATTAATTGAAGTTGTGTGTTTGTTTTCTTAGGTCCATGAATTTTTTCCCACAGCTTCAAAGCTATCATGAGGACTCAGGGTGTACCTGAGGGTGTGATGTAGCCCCACCACCACCACCAAGGGGGATTTAAAGCTAACTCGCTCGAATGGTTATTCAGATACGATGGAGATCTAAAAATGAATGTGTTTTTAAATCGCTAAACCCGAATCTGGTTCCTCATCCATTTTGGATCTCTGGGGTCTCATGTTTGAAATTATGTTCATACCCCACTCACAAACTAGCAGAACTAAATGTGACACACATGTGCTCTGGTATTTATCACGGGAGAGTATCATAACTTGTTTGTTTCCAAGTGCGTACCCCCTCCCTTGGAATTGTTTGTTTGTTTTTAATTTCGCGAAAAGCTACACGAGGGCTATCTGCGCTAGCCGTTCTTAATTTAGCAGTGTAAGACTAGAGGGAAGGCAGTTAGTCATCACCACCCACCGCCAACTCTTGGGCTACTCTTTTACCAACGAATAGTGGGATTGACCGACACATTATAATGCCCCCACAGCTGAAAGGGCAAGCATGTTTGGTGTGACGGGGATTCGAACCCGCGACCCTTAGATTGCGAGTCGAGCGCCCTAACCACCTGGCCATGCCGGGCCTCCCTTGGAATACCTATAGAAGTAATTGGGGATAATGGAGAAACTTAATCGGACATTGGGCTTTTGAATCCCGTAGCGGTGCAGGGTAATTTTATGCCAGTCTCTGTAAAGTGCGATGTTTCTTACCGAACTTAAAAAACTTAATTATTTGATTTTACTTATAAGTGTAGCCAAAGCATATAAACAAGACTGAATTGATATGCGTAGGTTGTTTAGCTTATTGAGTGAAAAGAAACAAAATGTGTGTAATAATGTCCACAGTACGCTGTATAGATATTATGTGAATTTAAAATTATATATATATTGATACTTCCTTAAAATGTGCTACAAAGAGTAAAATAAGAATTCACTGCATGCTGTGCCGGATTAAGGCGGGGACATAGAGAACATGTATCTCAGCCCCCTGGTTGCCGTGGATAAAATTACTTGTAGGTACTCGCAAATCCGTGACATAGTTTCGGTCGATTCAACACAAGATGTTGGCCAGGTCAGTGTTACTGTGCAGTATGTGTTGAATGACACACCCTTTGAATGCTTCCTCACATTTTCACAGTGTTGAATTAAGGGGGGAGGAGTAAAGGGGGATTCCTCCTGTGAAAAATACCCCTGAGGTACAGTATTTTCCATTTTACTGAATTTTAATTCATTCCACCCCAGCTTCACATTTCTTCCCTCCCCCAGGTAGAAAGGTCTGAATTTAATATTGGTTGAAAGTCACAAGACTTGCTGGATTATTTGACGTCGGAAACAATTTATATTATGGATTGTCGTGGTCAGACTTATGATAATGCGAGTCAACATGGATAGAAAATACTCTGATATGCAACAAAGACTGAAGAGATGTAATCCACTGTCCGTGTTTTAGATATGCACAGCGCATTCCTTGAACCTTGCTGTGTAGAAGCTGTAAGCTTTTTGATTTCCTGACAAACGTTTACCCTTTTTTTTGCATCCACCCATTGTTGGTCTGTTCTAATGAACCATCGGGAGGGGAAAGAACTTACAGTGAATTATCTCTCAGAAACGAGATGGTCTGCTCGTACAGATGCTACTGCAACCTTATCCAAGTGATACAAAACCATTCAAGACGCATTAGATAAAATTGCTGATGATAAACAACAAACTGCAGCTATGAGACATGAGGTTGATGATTCCTTGTCTCAAATATTGGATTTGTTGGAAACAGCGTTCGTCTGTCATTTCTGGGACACCATTCTTTTCAGATTTAACACAACAAGCATATCGCTACAATCCACAACCATTGATCTTTAGGTTGCTGTAGATATACCAGAGTCCCTTGTTCATTTCTTAGATACATTGCGTGAAAGCTTTGATAACTTTGAAAAGGAAGCATAAGCAACATGTGGTAGATCTGTTCGTTTGTTAATTTTCCGTAAAAATTCTTTCCGAAAAAACTTTAGCGATACAAGTCCTTTCTTAAATAAAACTGGTTTATTCTTTCTCAATACAACTTTGAAATTCACTTAATTTCCACAGTCACGCTATAACTTAAACAAACGCTATAATTCACAACTAACGACTCACGCGCTCGACTCAATTGTCCGTCTCTATCTCTGTCTGCAATTCAATTCCCATTGTTGCCGTCAGTTCTTGGCGGTCTTAAATACAAGAATAGAGCACATCTAGTAAACACTCGAGGCTTCACGAACGGACATGAATTTTCTAGAAGCTCATGACGTGTTACTAGCGTCACATCACTTCCGCTGTCGTAACAGATCAGACTACAAAATATCTCGTGAAAGTAAGAAAACAAGAAATGTGGATAGTGAGGAGTCAGAAGGAACTGTATTATCTGTAAAAGAGAAATCTTATGTGTAGACATACTTGCATATAATTGCTTTAAGGTTTCGATTCAAGGTTGTGTTAAGCTCTTGTATAATGATAGATAGAGATATAAAAGAAGAGGCTACCAAATTCGCTTTACATTATCCAAAAGATCTAGACAAAGTAGTATACCTTCAAGAAATGATTCAATTTGCCAAAGGAAAAGGTTGAACAAGGAATCGAGGATGGTTTACTTAATGTATCTGTTTCTCTGAGAATATACCTTTGTTTAAAGGTCACAAACTACTCAGGATGTTCAGCAAATTAACACTTATACAGAATAAACTGCGATAAAATTCGGAATGAGCAGCCAAAGGCATTAACACTGTTGAGCACTGGGAGTAAACTTATGCGAGGAATCTGCTTCAAAACCATCAATCTAAACTTTGCTGACTACATTTTGAAATATGTATTGAGATGTGCTTCTAAGACAATATAGCCTATATCTCTTGAAAATTAAAGTAAAATATACATTTTTGTACTACTTTATTAAAAAATGGATGACACTTCATGTTCAGAACATGTACAATTACTAACACTATATATGTAATCAATATATAGTATTATATATATATATTTACAGTTTTAAAGGCACGTTTACATGTATTAGGCTGTATGGTTTTTGTAATCAAAGAGTGAAAATGTTTTATGGGAAAGTTGTTGCTATTTGTTTATAAAGGTTTGTTTGTTATTAAAATTGCATAAATTACTTATTCTCACGGGTGTGCTTTCTTGCGAGAAAGATTTCTGTAAAGTTGAACATTCTACATGGTGAAAGTAGACAACTAGTCTTTTTCACTGATGAAACCCCCATTTTTTGTGTAGTAATTACCAACAGTGACGTGAGTAGCGCAAGTGCCATGGGAACGAATAACATTGCTTGGTGTACACATAATTACTGTTTACATGGTCTAGTTTCTTTGTGGACCTTTTCGAGATATATCTCCACGAGAGCCATTGCCCTTTTTCAAACTTTATTTTCTTGAATAAATAGAGATTGTTTGATATTTTCATACACTGTGTCCTTCTACTTTCAATCTTCACAGAAAAGTCGAAGAATAGTTTAACTTTGCTGCTCAAACTACCTGTTATTCTATATATCCAACCTGATCACTATGAGGGGAAATCTCTGTACCTGAGAATACTGTTGCGTCATCGAGTCACATGACTACTGTGACGCAACGTTTCTAGAATTATCATGTACTTTGGCGAATGCTCTAGTATTTACTAGTAGGGTAGGCTGGTATATATAAGAGGGGAAAACGTGACGCGGTAAGAAAGGTAATGTGTGTGGAGATAGTGAGTAATTGAACTGCAGTCAGAAGTATTATTGACGTTCGTTTGTTTAGCGCGATTGTTGAAGTTGAGTGTATCGGTAAAGTTATATTCGGAAAGAATAAACCAGTTTTATTAAGTAAAGACTTGTGTCGTTAAAATTTCGTCGGAACGAAGTTACGGAAAAATCAATTAACGAAACGGAGACGTAACAATACATATTCACACTTTATATGTAGAGTGAAAAAATACAAATAATAAAACGAGGGTATAATCCAAAAATGACTAAATTAATGGGTAAGGCTGTATTCCTAATAAAAAACAACAACAACAAATATCAGGCAGACTATCACTGCCTATGAAGGGATGGCTCAGGCTGTATTCAAAATAAATAACAAATATCAGGCAGACGGTAGCATTGCCTATGTAGGGATGGCTCGGATTGTTCATCGAAATGGTATTTTAAATATCTTTTCAATAGATCATCAAAACTTTACAACACTATACAGTGTTTTCTTTTATAACAATATCTATGCATTAATTGAGTCAAAAGTTCTGGGAATGTCTTTAAATATCATAGCAAAAATTTATAATTTCTTGTTTTTCTGCTTGTTTTTTTATTACATGACTAGTATAAAAGCCGGTCAAAAATGACGGGAAACAGATCCTACCAAATTTGAATCCTCCAATATGCACTTGCAAATTTGCCTTCCGTAAACAAACATAAGAAAAATTAAGGGCCTTCTAGCTTCGGGAAACCAAAGCCTATCATGAGCAATATCCTTTTATCTTTTATGTCTCTTCCCGGTAGCGATCCTTGTTCCAACATTCATGGATCACACTTGTTTTCTTATCACATCAATTGCATTATTGCAATAGTTCTCTTAAAACCACATTTCCTGTAAATACTTGATCATCGTACAAAAACTTTTCTTCATAACAAACGGCAAAGTAATTTCACTGAGTGCTATATATATATATCCTTGGTATAAAAACTCCCTAACTGACAGGCTTTCATACAGCAGAAAAAGTGCCGAAATTTAGGAGCTATTTACGCCTATGTTAGTGATTGAATTCAACTAAAATGAGAACAAGCAATCAAAAGAGGAAGTATTATAGGAGAAAAAGTGGAATTGGACTCGTGTAACTCACGAAATTCGGACTAACACTTGGCTTTTATTACTAACTGTAAAATGCTTATTCCCTTTGTCACTCTGGCGAGAACGCATTTACGCTCCCTTTTTGGTAATGCTCAACAATATACATAGTCGCTTAGCAACAAAAATATCACCTGATTGTTCTTAAGCCAACTATGGTGCCTATGTTGAACGCTCAATATTCATTGATTTGTTAGAAAGGTTTGTTTTTGTTCTTTATTTTTTGATAACTTGGGTGATATAACAGCAAAATAGTTTAATTCAGAAGTTTTATGACATTGAGTTTTAGCCAAAAGCAAAATATCATTTACCAAGTAGTATTTCAGCTAAGCCTTACGTTATGTTTTAGGCCTAATGCATAAATTAGATTACGAATAGGCGTACTGTTACTGACGTTATAGTCAGTATTTAAAATGTGTTAAGTGGTGAATAAATAGTTTGTTACTTTTGATACTTTAACACATATGTTACCTAATTAGCTTTAAAACATGGAACAAAATAAACGTTTATTACTACCAAATCTCCCTTATTCCTTGTACAGTTAAAAAAAAAAAAGTTGAAAATTTGTGTCAGAATGTCCGCACCATGTTTTCTAATTCCTGACTTAGAATACAGTGAAAAGGTACGAGAGTGTTATTTAAGTTTCTTTCAGAGTGCACACGTACTTTTGTTTACGATAAAATTTCATTTTTTCTGTGTAGTTTTTACTAAAATGTGGTGATTAAAGAATTACTTCGAGACTGATGGAATAATCAGAGTAGGTGCATTTTGGAAGTACAGACAAATTCGTTTTAGTTAAATTCTATAATTTTCATTATTCATTCAACAATAGTTTCCTATAATTTTTTATGGGTTTATATAGCTGTGATTATGATAATTTAAAAACAAACAATTGTGTCATCCAATTTCACTGAGGTGGCATAGTTTCCAATGGAGTATGCAGTTATAAGTATCATTAACTAGTAGTAATTAAATAATAGTAATAATTCTAGCGTAAACGATGTTATCATTATCCCTCGAAGTTAGCTTTTTACATAAATTTCGTGTTCCTTTAAAAAGCTTTAAGTACAGGGTGAAACAGGAATTACCATTCAATAAGAGATAAACAATAAATACTACAGTTAGAATCCTATTGTATTTAGAATTTGGTTATAAATACAACCCTCCTATGTCTATTTATACACTGCATTAAAATAAAACAACAACAAGGAAACAAATAACGAAAAACTTTTTAAAAAATGAAGTAAATGTAGGGAAGACTAATATCAAACTTTGAAAACAATGCAAACAAGATAGTAGGGATGATGCAATTACCATCCCTACATTTACTTCCTTTTTTTCAAGTGTTTTCTTTACTTTTATCTGTGTGTTTGCTAACTACCTATTTAGTATGAATTAGATATAACCCTTTCACTACTCAGATGGGGTGGAAAATCTCCACTCCATGCGCCATTCTTTTTTTTTTTGTACCTTACGAAATCATAGTATAGCATGTAAAGGTAAAGAATAAATACTAGAAAGTGACATAATGGCCTCTGGGTAGGCCTGGTATTATGTTGAGTGAGGAGGGTGTTCTTTCAGGTCCGGGGCGACCCTCACCGACTGCCTGATAAGACAGTAGGGCGAGCAAGACTTCCTTCCAATTGTGGCATCCTCTTTTATCTCACGCACTGGCTCAGCATTTGTCGTGAATAACACGACTATATTGTTCAAACATTACAATTAGCACACTAATATAAATCACTATATAAATGCCTAATATTTACAGTATATACAGTTTTTTTTCACGCTGTATATACACGATGGGGTGACACCTATGGGTTATTCGTACAACCAAATATCAGCTGTGTATTTTAATATGAACACGCACACAAATTGTATGAATAACTGGTGTATTTAAAATCAAATTACCCTAATATAAACCTGTTATGATCATCAGCAATGGAATTTTTAATGCGAACCCAGACTAATCACCTTTCTCTAAAAATCACAAATTTCTGTCTTGCTACTTTCTAACGCTTGGCCAGATTTCATGGTTTAAACAGTAATTCTTTTTCATTCATTAATAACTCATGTCACTTGGCAATGAAAATGTTAAGCCTAAAAATGATTCATCATCAACGAATTTCTTGTACGGTATTAAGATTGTTGTATACTTTGTAAAAAATGAATACCAAGCAATCCTGAATGAATCAGGGTACATTTAATAATAATAACTAAATATAGTTTAAATCTATGGATCATTAGCATTTCCACTGAGAAGAAATATATATTAAATATATCTACATATACTGACCATACAGAAATGAAAAATTTACTGATATCGCAGTTGTTCATATATTACAATAAATACTATTTGTTTTAGCACAAAGACACTTTGGGCTATCTGCTGTGTCCACTGTGGTGAATCGAACTCTGAAAGTTTCATTGTAAGTACATAAACTTACCATTGACCCACCAGAGGACTAAGAGAAATGTATACACGTTTTATGAGATCAGCCTGTGATTGTTGAATTTTAATTGTAAAATTTAACAAGGATATTGTGGCAACTTGTAGATACACAGCAGCTACAACCATTTGAAAATATTGTCACAATAAATCATTAAATGCCAATATACTATGAAAGTGTTACTTGTCATTTCACAATACTGAAGTTTCTGTGTATTCCACAGTATGGACTTTTAAGTGACTTAGCCGATACATAGAAAAATACTCAGGCTCCAATGTCTTTCAGATTTTTATTTTTTCCAGATTTTTTTTTCTTCCAGTATAGTTCTTGCTATAGATAACTTGCATTACAACATTCATCCTTTGTAAGCCACACACACACACACACTACAGATACCAAAACTGAAACCTACCAGTTACATGTATTCACTACATCAGCGGGAAATTTTGTAACTTATCGAACAAACTGAAACACACACATGGAATGAAGTATTATTGATGCATCAGGTATAGTACACAGTATACAAACTAACTAGTACTCATGGGTTACTCGACTTTATATATATTACTTTTCTATACCACCTTATAATGATGGTGTGACAACTGACTACTGCACCAAGTCTTGTTTCTTTCATCAACTTCTGATCGAATACATAAATCAGAACTTTATCTTTTAACTTACTCATAAAACAGAAGAATTGCATCAAACAACAAGTGGTTTGTAATAATATGCAACAAAATATCACACTGAGTTCTATTTCTTTCTGGAAAGTGTTGTTTTTCTGTACTATTTACCACTTGAAAAAAAACAAAAAAAAACTAGGTTACTATGGAAACCTAGAACACAGCTTACTGTAATATAAACTTGACTTCTAAAGTAAAGTTTAGGAGACGGGTTTATTTATTTATTACAAATGTACAATGTTTCATCATCATGAGCTTGTTGAAATATTGTACATTTGTAATAAAGTTTCTTTCACTACCCTTTCAAGCCGTCTCCTAACTTTATTTTCTAATAAGTGATTTCCTTGCCATCAAATTTCGATTCATACTTGACTTTTGTTAGAATAATAATAATAAAAAAAAATGTACCATCGAATTTCTGAAATTGTTCAACCTCGATATAAGTTTGAGTTACATTGGTAATATTCGACTGTTTCATTCTTTTCTAGATAATAAGGAATGAAAGAATACTTAAAACAAACCATGTGGTGACAAGATACAGTCCACTGTATGTTATAGACTGTTTGTATTATTTCTAACAATATTTGAGTTGAGTGTTTTAATGCCAGAACTGGTGTGCACTTTGAAATCTGGGATTTTTGTAGTTCACACTAATTTTTACTAACCAGACATTGTTGATAATTTAAAAGGGTAGTAACAGAATTGAATTTTATATTTCACATATGAATAGCAAAATATCTAGAATTTCCTCAAACTTTTACAGAATCTTTTAAGTATGTCTATGAACACAAGCAGGGTAGAATTCTGAAATTAGTAATGACACACAGAGTATATTCAAAAACTTTTTTATCCCTCTTCAATTTCATATGAAAATTTAGGTCAGTTAATAAAACCAAAAAAATAAGCTAAGTTTCAAAAGACAAATAAAACTGGTTCACAACTTCAGCTTGTAAACATACAGTGGGGGTTGACATGGAAGTTACTTGTGTTAGACAATGTTGCTTTCACACAGGTGACCCTTCCCATGCAAGACATGGAATAAACGTTTGATTAGAAGAATAACAAGATTATTATATTTTCACGAGAGATTGGGTTTTGCGTGACTATGAACTAGTTTTCAAGATCACAGTTTCTCACTAGAAAGTCAATGCTAATTACTTTAAATACAGACATTATGTATTCAAGTCTAAGTGCATTGAATAATTTATCAAATATTACATTTTAAAACACTATTAAACACAGGGTGTCAACCCAAATTGTATAAAACTAATGATTAACAAAAATTAAGATAGGACTTTAGATTAATTTTTATAGTTAAAATTTACAGTAATTTCATCAAATATATTAATATATATATATGTATGTAAACATTCTTGTTAACAACACAGATAAAATAATAAATCAACCTTCTTATTGAAAAGTTGCTTTCTAAGAAATATTAAAAAAATCTATCTTAAATTCTAACGTTTTGAGACCTTTATCCTAAAAATATGAAGTTTCATTACTGCTTTTAACAACTGCTTCTAGCTGTACAAGTTATAAATGAAACGATGCGCTACATAGTCTTTATGCAAATTAAACAACACATGTATAACCCTTTAACTGTAACAATGCTTAAAAACTCGGTTTATTTAACATTTAAAAAATAAATGCAATACCTTGAATGTTTTTTTGAAATAATAAAAGACCAAAAACATTTTAATCAAAATAAAAAAATTACTTTTTTTTTTTTTTACCAAATATGTCCAATTTAAAAAGCTTAATTTTGTAAGAGCTTATTAAGAAAAACAATTGATAATAAGATGTTTCGCTGAAACAAATAATTTTTATTTCTTAAAATATTGCAGCAAAGATTTTAGGTTCATCACCAAAATAACTGTACCTTCATAAGAAGTATCATAACCATCAAATTATTTTCTCATCTCCGATGCGAAGTAATGTGGCTTACAAGGGAAAATATATAATGTTATAGACTACATAAACGGCACAACTAGGAAAAAGTGTCTTGTTCTACCTTTGGTCAAAATAAAGTTGCTGAAACAACAGTAATATTAGTGCACACGAATCTGCATCTAACCATTACTGACAAAATGTCCCATTTTCTTTTCATTCGCAACAGGTATGTACACGGTTTTCTATTATTGGGCCCCCCGACAGCTAACTGCAGAAATGAATCTATGGTAGTTTTCAAGAAAAACTTAAAATTGTTTAATAAATAAATAAAAGAAGGAAAACTGAGTACAAGAGTTAGTTAATAATAAAATTTTCTTCATCAGTCTCTTTCCCTGTTTATCACTAACTTCAATTGTAGTTGAGTTAATTTTTTTTTTTCCCCCAAAGAAAATTGTGGGATTTCACTGTACGCAGAAGTTCACTTTTAAATAGTTTTGTCTGAATATGCTGGAAGTTGTATACATTTACTTCCTTTCTAACAACTTGTACACAAGTTTAAATAAACCAAGACCAAATATATTTAAAAAATAAATAACCATGTCACCTGATGAAAAAAAAAATATATATATATTCTTTTTTTTTTTGAGCTAAAACACAAATAAAAACAAGTGAGCAAACAACTTCGACTTAATAATCTGAGGAAAACAAACAGCAATGAATCTACATAAATGGATGAACGTTTTATGAATGCTTTTCTAGATGGCCAGAGACAAAAGTACATTAGTTGTGAAGTCCACAATGCTATGGACACAATTGCACATGGTCAAAATGCTAACATTACATTTTACAGATGCAAGAGTATGGAAGTATACCAAATGTATCACTAATCACCATCCATTTCAATTCTTCACTGGGCAACAGTTCGGTTTCTTGTCCGAGAAACACTACACAATTAATATAATTTTTTTTTATGTATTTTCTTTTCACTATAATTTCATTAAATTATTTGCCCCTCTCAAATTTACACACATTTAATGCATCCAATAACGAGTGTTAACTGCAAATGCAGCTAGTGTTTGAATTATATTGTCTGTAACTCCACATGCCATGTCATTTTCTTAACTGCAGCATGTAAAACTGGCTTTTTCATCTTCAGTCCAGTGCTAAAAAAGAACAGCTAAACAAATCTATGGACACTTGGAAAGAACAGAATAAAAAAATTACAAGGTTAATACTAAGTGTGCATATTAACTGGCAGGTCAACCACCGCTTCCTCAGTTCATCTGACTCAAAAGCTATAAACGACAGACCACCGAGAGTTCTGTATTAGCACAAATCTACAATCACAGCATTAAATTCAACCTTTTATTACACTGAAATATTTTCCCAGAACTACGACGGTTCTGTCACCAAAACCACCACTTCATTGTCATGATCTGCAAACACAAAAATGGTGGCAGTTGAAAATGAACAGTTATAATCAGCCAAGAAAGCTCCATAGAAGTTGAAGACAATGTTTAGCACAAATGGATGTTCAATGTAAAAGAGCACTTGAGATTTTATATATTCTTGACTTAGTGACAAAAGAGCAATATGATGTAACAAATTCTCAAAGCTAGGACACTGAAAATTCGTTACTCTGGCTAGTCGTCATTTACCAACATATTAGAAGCAACATTTAATTGAAACAGCAGCCTGTTCTTGCAGCAACAAGATATTTTTCTTCGGATTTCTTTCTATTTGTTGTTGGGAGATACTGGTACTTTTACCTCAACACTTGTGTCGACCAGTTCTGTGTAGTATCTCACCCTTCCTACATTTGAAGTTGAATTCTCGGAACAACCTACACCATAATTAGAAGTTCACATTAAATCAAAATATTTCTGTATTTTACAAGCTAATTTAAACTGAATAAGAAATATTCATGTGTTTGGAATGTGGAGTACGATTAACGAACCTCAATCCGAATATTTAAACTACACTGTAATAATATATTTCACAATATATTTTATCAAAGGGATACTTTCATAATGAGTCTATTCTTAAATCCTTTTCAGTGATATCTTTGTCGAATTAATTCTCTCTACGTAAGTTTGTTTCTTGTTAACCATAAAGTTATTCAATGGGTTTACTGTGCTGTGCACACCACTGGTATCAAAACATGGATTTTAGCATTACAATTTTTCAGATTTACTGTTGAGCCACTGGGGAAGGGGACTCTACCCCAGTAAATCCACATATAATTAGTAAAAATACACTTGATATTATAAGATTGTTAAAAATCACAAAATATTAAGAAACAAAATCTGTATTACATAGTTTTAAATCGAGTGAGAAAAATTACAAGACAAATTAATTTAAGTTTAGGCTACATTTTTAACTTAAAGATCCATTTTGACAGCACTCGTGAGTCGTTGCGAGTGCTGACTGACAACCGTCGTTCAATCACGAGAACACGCGTTAATAATCCCAGACAAGTCAATGAAAAATTAGAATATATATCCGTTGGTATTTGGTGATAAGATTTAACGACAACTATCTATTTGATTCGATTTCAAAAATAAAATAATGAATTTGGAAATGTTAATGTTTCAGTTGTACACTTTACCCCTGCAGTTATTTTACTGAAGTTTTTATTTCTATACTTATACAAGCTACATCAATTTAACTGTACTTATGTGGATGACCAATTAAAAGGAACTGAATTGGTTGTGAAGTTGAGCAAATAAATGGCAGACGACTTTTAATTAAAATAAATGTAAGGTAGTGAGTGCACAATTTGAATAATGAGAATAATTTTGATGAGAATAACCTTAACAGTTCTAGTTTTATGTAAGAAAAATATTTTGGTGTTCTGGTTGATAAGCAATTTAATGGTAGGATCTGGTTGATAACCATCCAAGCAATTTAATGGTAGGACATACAAGATTCTAATTTATAATTATAGAAATAATGAATACAAGTCTAAAGAGTTTATAATATTATTGTATAGTTCATTGGTTAGACCACATTTGGAGTACTGGGCTTCTTATCTTACGATGGACACTGAATTTTTTTAAAGAATTTAGAAGAGGACTACTAGGATGGAAAAGATTTCTAAAAGAGTTAGAAGGGGATCTGATTGAGGCGTTAAAGATTGTTAAAGGAACTGATGGCGTTGAAGTATCATCTTTTTTGATACTTAATGGTTAGAATGGTAAGACTAGGGGACACAAGTATAAATTTTGGTAGGGTAGGAATCATTTTCAGCTAAAGACAACTTTATTTTTATAAATGGGCTGATGTGGGATGCCTTTAAATGTGATAGATGCAATTAATTTAAAGAAGTTTAAGGGACAGCTAGATGAATATTTGAATGATAAGGGCTGGCTTTAAGTGTTTTAGTTTAGTGGGGGGGCAACCTAGATGGACCAACAGTTTTTAAGAGCTCCCTCTACCTTGTGATGCAATATCTGTTATATGCATGGTTATTTGTCAATTTAAAAATATCCATAAAATACATAATTTTCAAGTACAAATTTTATACAAAACAAATTTCTAATGTCACAAATTGTTTCAACAGTTTCTATAATACTAAACTAGTTTTCACGACATTGATATGGTTAATTTACTGGAAAACAGTTCTGAACAACCAACAAGTGAGAAAAAAATCCTTACCTTTATTGTAATCATTCAATACTTTCTCCCAACCTGAACAAAATAAACACAGAGTTGGATTAAAATAAAAAGATTCTACACTACTTTTGATAAGATCCTGTACCTAGAATTTCAAAAAATAATGTTTCAGATCTTACCTAAGTTCTCTTTTAACATATTTAAACATTGTTACTCAACATATCTTCAATACTCCTGAAACTTATAATTTAAATTATACCATAGTTTCATTACAGCTCGTCTAGCCTAAAAGTAAACTATTTACTGCAGAATAATTAGCTGAAATTAATCTGTTTTCCTAGAGTAAACTGTAATCATAGTGACGTGTGAACGATTGTTAAAACTTGCATGGATTCATTAAAATATTTCTGTGGGATTATTTAAACACGAGCTTACCACAGTGACCTTATTGTGAAATTATCAAAAAGAATTGGGGGGAGGTTGAATAAGTTACCAGTTACATATTTGTACTAATAATTTTTAGAAAGACACAAACAAAACTAAAACCAAAATGTTTGGCAATTACTTTAGTATATTACTAAGATGCATCTAAATTTGAGTCATGACTGGTGGTTTTGTTTTTAGAAATTATTGGTAACTTTCATTTAACTGCCATTTATTTACAATCACTGAACTTATTAACCGTTACCTAACATCACGTACACTGGGAGGCATACGTTAAGTACCGTTTACATGCATCACACACAGTACAAGGCAAGACAGTTACACTGCACCACCCATTTGAATACATTTTCAAACAGTGTTACACAATCTACATCTACATTTGTAACAGTACGAGATGTGGAAAAACTTCTTAAAACACATGCCAGTGTCCCAAACTTTCTTACAAAAGTCGATGTGTTAAAGTTCATTCAACAAACTAATAAATAACCATAAAAAATATGCTCCTTAAGACTCTTTGAAAATCCACAGTCAAACATTAACATAGAACCGAAAAAAGTTTGATTTATAGCTTACACTCCACATAACAATAAACACTCATTTAAAAATAAAAAAAATTAGTACCAATAATAATTTCTAAAAGATTAATTATTAAACTGAATTATAACAAATTCATCCAAATATTGACTACCACAGACTAATACTATTCTCTTTGTAAATTATCTTACAATGAGCCAACTTACCTTCTAAACACAGACAAAAAAAACTAACAACGGACGTGAATCAAGTCTCGGAGCAACTTAATGACAGATCTTAATTATGCTGTCTCAATTTCATATACAAAGGAGTATTCATTTACATAAATCAAGTTATCAGGAATTAATTTAATAATACTGCTCACAGAGTGGGAACATTGAGAGATTTTCAAACTAGATCACTGATTATAAATAATACTTTGTATTAAACATGTCATCAGTTGTTTCTCGTTTATACACTACACAACCAACAAGACAAGTATCTTACATGAAAATGAAATGAGCTTGTTAAGAAAAAAAATAACTTATCATGTAACACTTACTCGATCCAAAAAAATGGACAATACGGTCATAATTAAATGTATCAATATTTACTGGAGAGTCTCGCCATTGTATGTAACGACCTGATAGAGTGACAACTCCATCATAAGGACAAGGTTGAACAACATCGGAAGACTCGGTGTTTCCTGTGGGAGATTTAATGATGCAGTTGGATGTAGCACATTTATCGTTATTTGGTTCTGCTGAGTAGATATCAGGAGAGATTTGCAGATGGGAACCAAGACTGGTCACCACCCTGACATAATCTTCCCCAAGGCTCATACGAAGCAACTGTTCATTGACCTCAAAACCAAAGGTCAGATCACACACATGTTCACCAGGAACATAATTATCCATAATAATAACAGGTGGACATTCGGGGTCAAATTCTGTGGTAACTCCAACTAATTTCTCTCTTTCTTTCGGAAACTCTTGAAATACACAGTTCCGTTTGCTAGGCATGTAAATGTGCTTTTCGGGAGGTCTAACCTGGTTGGAGATTATAATTTCATTAGTTCTTGTAGAGCATACTGGCACCGATACAGGAGCTGTAGGAATACCAAAGTTTTGGTTTTCCACTTCTACTAGTGGTTTAAAGTTCTTTATAACAAGGTCTGTATTAGAGATTGAAGACAACTGAACCCGTGGATCTCTGTTTGATGAGTTACTCACATGATCAGTAATGCCACCTGATTGATTATCTTTAACCGAATTACTCTCTACAAGATTACACTCTATACCAAATTCCAAACCAAAGTTTTGATCTGGAGGTGGTAGACAAAATAATGCATTTGGGTCACTTTCAATCAATCTATTGTTCAGGTTATTATTGGAGGACTTCACTTTTTCCCCCGAAGAAATCACTGACATACGTGTAATATCTGCATAGGAAGCTTGCGAAGTAGATGAACAAGAAGAAGGCGTGGTATGAGGATGAATCGATGTTTGTAGCGGGGCAGAACTACATACAGGCAGAGAGTGGACACTGTCCAGATCAGAGTTTTCTGCTGACGAATGTTCCGAAGGAGGAACACTGCTAGTTGATTTTCGGCGGGAAGAATCCTGCCTTCCTCTCTGACCACGGTGTGACAGATTTAACAACATGAGTTCATTGCAAGAATTGTGATTAGTGGGTTTATCAGGGTAGTATTTACCTGCTCCAACGGTATGAATGTGTCTACGGAAACCATCCAAAGATTTTGTTGGCAAATGTTTCTTATGTTTCTTCTTCACCACGACACGAAACTCTGTCTCTTCCACAGACTCATGACTCACTTCCGAAAATGAATAAAAATCCTTAACAAAACCAGATGAAGGGCAGCTATGAAAAAATACTGGCTCAGAGGAACTACTGCTATTTATTACATCAGATTTAGGTCCAATGGTCTTAATCTTTTCTTGGTTTTCATAATCAAAACAATTTATTTCAACACCCGAGGAAGTACTATCCAAACTTTTAGTTTTTGTTATTCTTTCCAAAACGAAATCGTTAAATGGATTATTGAAAAAACTGCATTTCCTCGAAGTCTCATTTTGTTCATTATCATTTTCTAAGTGATCATCATCCTCACTTCTAGAAAAATTGCAAGGGTTATTAAATTTGCTGTTTTTTTTAATATTTGTAATATTTTTAAGGTTCTGCACATTCTTCACATCCCTTGAGGATACTTTATCTTTTTTTCTTTCCAGTTCTTGACTAACTGAAGACTTTGTTAAACTAGAGGCCATGTGTCCAAGAGCATTGTTGTTCCCGTATGTTACTCCTTTTGATTTCTTGTCAGAAGAATTGATGTATGCCAGTAGCGAATCAATATTTTCCTCCCATCTGTGACCAGCAATGTCCTTTGCAAGCATGACATTTTGGTTGTCTGTATTTCCACGGAAACGTTTAGTTTTCCTGCTTACTCTATCATTTTTCAAATGATGAGCTTCGGATGAAAATAATTCCGTAGTTTCCGACTTGTTTCCGTTAGCATCTACAGATGATAAAATTCTACTTTCTTCTGAAAAAAGAATAAAAGATTATTAACATTGTTAAAGTGAGAAGACTGTCTTCTGGAAAAAAAAAAGAATATTCCTTCCAATCTTGTATAAGCAAAGTTTTCTTTTTAAATACTTTTTAAAATTAATTCACAGTGAAATTAATTCAAAAATATACTGAACCAGCTTTAACTTTAAATCATGCTAAAGACATGATAAAATAATCAATATTAAATAACATAGAAAATTTTATCCAATTTTTTTTCGCTTAAAAATTACATTGTTTCAGTTTTAAGACATTTATCGCACGTATAAAAATTGCTTCTGTCTCATATTCTTAGTTTAATATTTTCTTGACAATTTTTGTGACAGAAAAACACCCAAGTTTACATTCAATGTTTCTAGTGTCACTTATCAAGTAACCATACTTAGGGAACTACTCAAAGTCTGCCAAGAAAACGTGTAGTCCAATTATCAATGCACTATTTCCTGTGGATTGGCTTTCACTGAATTATCCCTTTAGCACACCAGTATTGGCAAACTTCAGCAATATTGCAGAAAACAGATTAGATTCTGATCTTTTGAAATATAACTGTGTTATACCTTACAGTTTTAAATATTCCAAGATTAATTTGATAAAGTATAACTAGCCAACTTGTTTATTGAGGGAGGTCTTAAAAAAACTTGTTAAAACGTCTTGATAAATGACCTGCATCTATTAACTAAACATTTGAAAGGTGTCAAAAAAAATAAATAATATTTCTTAAGTAATCAACCTTATTCACTTCTGAATATTTACCTATCTTATATTTTACACACACACATTTTAATTTTTCAGCTAGCAAATATTGAAGCTTAGTGTTAATCACTCACACATCTTTAATGTTTTAAAAGACACGCTTTTTGAAAAAAAAAAAATTACAATTACAAAATTTGCACAATTAATAATGGTGAGAAATCCAAACAAGATATGTTTGAATAAAAAACATCTATGTATTTTGGCTATAATGCTTTCAAAATTCATTCACAGCGGCTCAAGATGAACTAAAGTCCAGAATAAGTCTTGCTGATAAACAGAATTTAACTGGTTCTATTAGTTACTGAGCATCAAATATTTCAATTAAAAAAAAAAACAACTGAAACCTTGATATGATATTAGCTTCCATTAATTAATTAGTGATAACATTTTGTTAATAACACAAGGAAAGTGAAATTCTCCTCATAAGACGTTTTAGTACATTAATAGATAACACAATACCTGACCCCCCTTTCTTTTTCTTCTTCTGGGTTTTATTTACTGACTGGTCACTCAAATACAGACCTTCTGTAACAAACAGAATTATTAAATATAAATAGAGGCATAAAGAACAGGAAATGGAAAAAAAAATCATTAAAACTATCCATTACAGTCGGTATTTAATTTGTTTAAGAGACTAAACACATTAAGATATATTAATGCTACGTAAATTATTATTCATAGACCATAACCTATAACTTAAACTAACAACCTGTAATAAGAACATCTAGTTTTACTCGAGAGTGACCTTCTACATTCACTTGAAATCTGTAACTTCTACGACTGCCAAGGTCAGCAAAAACATAATCACAAATTTAACATGTGAGGTATTACGACTTAAGTGTACAATTTGTACCATGCAAGAAAGGGTTATAAAAATTTTAGTCTTTTCCAAAAGCAATATGTTACACAAGTAGCTTAAGTAATGGTAGGATAAGAGGACACAATTATAAATCTTTAACTGAGGCATCTTTATTTTTCTAACAGGGTACTTGGCCTTTGGAATGGGTTGCCTTCAGATGTGGTGGATACAATTAATTTAACGAAAGCCTTGATTAATATTTGAATGATAAGGGCTGGCTTTGAGTGTTTTATATTTTTGATGGGTTGGTCCAGATGGATTAAGAAGTCCCTTTGTTGATCTCAAATTATACGTATATATATATAATATGTACCAATATGGCTGACTTGTTTTTTGGTACTGTTCACTACTGGTGTGGAACCATGTGATGCATCACAGTTTAAATAATTTTTTATTTTTGTACGTTACTCATTATTAAGACCTATCCAACAAAGGTTTTCCAGCAGTAAGTATTGGGATTAATTTCAATATTGGTGGTATTTTTATACGACATCTGTTGGCCCTGTAACCAACAAAACCATGGATGTTAGAAAAAAAAAGATAATGCATCAACACTATCAATTCCCTTAACAATCTAAACGCCTCAATCAGATCCCCCTCTAACTCTTCCTTTTTTATCAAGAAACAAATTTCAGTTAATATTCCCAACCAGTTTACACTTCCAGCCTCGTCTTGTTACTTTAATAAAGACAGTTAATACACACACAGATGGTTTAATAGGAATCACACGCAGAGTTGGAACATTTAAATAGTGTCTCATGTTAGTATTATTAATAAAATTATATTATGAGCATAAATCACTATCTTTATAACTGCTTCACAAGTTTTATAAAGTAATTTCAATATGAATAAAAAAATGTGTATAAATCTTTTAAATTCATATTAAAAGACAATGAAAAATATTTTCATTATGTAAAAAAAGTCTTTTAAGACTTAGTTGATGTTTTTTGTGAACAGTAAAAAAAAAGTATTCATCCACATGAGAAGAAGATCCCTTGTAGGAAATAACCAATAGTACTGAATGACTGATAATAAATAGAGAAACCTTAAGGATCATTGTTACTAGACATAAGACAGAAAATTTGACAGTTCAAGAAGGACATCCTCTGTAAGAAATGGCATTTATTGACCATAAAGACATTTTCCTATAGTTACTGACCAACTCATTCAGCACAGATTAAACCTACTTGCCACAGATGGTTTTGTGCATTTGTAACACATCACACTCCCCTTTTCCATTTCACCAAAGTAATTATTTTCATCAACAATGGGCATTAGTGATTGTGAATATGACACTTTTAACAATACTATTTCACTGTAGTTATAAATTTAGGTCACCTACTCTTAACACTTAAAGAAAATAAACAAACTCTAAGTGTTACATGACAACCTAAGTGAGTTAGGAGTACAGGCAACAGCATTTAAAATAGACATTGATCTTTGTAAAGAAATAGTCGTACCATCCAGAATAGAATAAGAAGATCTTATCCCTATGTTCATGATGTTTCCTCCGATCTGGGGTCTACCATAACTTGCTTCTAGGTGGATTTTCCTGTCTGCATTCTTCTCTGAAGGTTCGACATTACTGTCTAACAGCTATATAATACATAGTACATGTGATAGAAACAGTAAAACAATACAATTAAAGAACCTGCAGCATTAAAATATATTAACAATCATCTTGAAATATAAGAATTATTAATTTTAACAGAAGAAACTACACTGCAAGTGAAATGTGTGTCCTCCATTTTTTAGCAAAAATAAGTTACATGCATTTCTTGATTTTGAAAAGCAATACCAGGAAAACAGAACTGAACTTTACGATTCGTGATTTTTACGTACATGTTAATGTTCTTACATGTACATACAATTCCATTAAAAGTATTGTTTGTGAAGTAATTACAATAACAGGGGGGCTAAACATGTACAACGTGCAATTTCACTAACTTCTGCACGGCCTAAAGTCGGACAGGTATGAAGAGATCATTGTCTCTTGAATCAGTGTTTAGTGAAAAAATTTTTTAAGTCATAGTAAATATTCACATTAGCATTTATACTAAGAGCTTTATTTATTACACCAAGTAGCGAATGTTGAGATTTAAAGGCACCAACTCTTTTAATACAACTTTATTGGATAAGTAAGCCACCTCAGTTATACTGGAGATATCAGTCACGCTGGCCATTTATGTCGGTAATATTTAAAAAATTCACCTAATCAGATGGTACTACATTTACTTACAACAAATATTTTTGTTGTATTATCACTATAGTATTAAAAATAAACTTGAGATTTCTTTGTAATAAGTAGCTTAAATCTTTAAAAAAAACTGTAAAGGTTTAATACACTTTAGAAAATATATAAAATATTTAATTTTTTCAAGATGACAGTACATATTCCATAATTACGCTACTAATGACTAAACTTTTTAAATTAATCATCTCAAAACTGACAGATAATAGTTATTATATCACAACTGATAAATAATAGTGCTTTTTTCTCATCCACATGGGGTGAATATATATTCTTCTACTGAAAATGTATAACCTACAAAATTTTAAGGAAGTAAGCTTCACTCTCTTTTCGGTTAAATGTGTTTTTTTGGCATTGCCAAAGCAAATTTGTCTTAACTCTTT